TTTCGGCATGTAGCCATGGTGCTTTTTTAAGAGAGAAAAAAATAAAGCTATAAAACTACAACCCCCATGGTTCCCTTTGCCGGCCTGTTTACCTTTCCGTGCTGGCTGGGACCAGACATCCATGTGACATCTGAGAACAAGACTGTTGACAGCACAGAAAGTGCTGACTGGGTGGAAAAATGATTTGTTTCCATCCCTTGGGAGGAAGAGTTTTAGAGCAAGGGTTTTGTGGCCTGTGTGGTGTTGCAATACAGGAACTTGGTTCAGTTTTTTACTTACCAGTGCTGTAATAGCTGCAGCTTCCACTGTGTGCTCACTGATGTGAGGGAAACTTAGCCTCTAAAACCACCAGAGGCTAAGCTGCTGCTTTGCCAATGAGGGTTTTGAAAGAAGTGACGGCATGAGGGACCTTGAACTTGCCTGCATAAGCATCTAACAAAATGATGACTGAATAGGGGATTTCAGGTAGTAAAGGCCATAGTACAAAGCAAGGGCAGATCCAGGAGGGTGCAGTGGTATAATTGCACCCTCTTTACTTGTTCACCCAAATTTTAAAATTCAACCCTGTCTTGGAGCGGCAGCAGCATTTCTATTCAGGCAGTGCTGATGGAGTCTCTTGGCTTCTTGCCTCATTATCTACCTGATTCCTGCTAATTCCTCTCTGCTCCATTGGTGTTAACAACCCTCTCTCCTTTTTAATGGCCTTGATGTTCCACTATTCATGCTATCCTTTCTTCTGTAGTTTAGCTGCTCCTTAGCCATTGCTGGTAATGTCTCTCTCATTTCACAGCCCTATAGTATTAGACTGCTTTTAGCTCTAGCTAAAAACCTTAATTCAGGTATGGTAATATTAACTCGGGTGTAGAAGTATCTGACGCGGAAGTATTGGAGGCATTGTGAAGACACTCAAAAAGACTAGATTTTGTTTTACAAATCTGACTAAGAAATGTACATTTAATTGTAACGAGTAATGACTATAGGACTAATGAAACAATATCTTTGACTATTTTGACCATTTTTGCTTGGTTTGTTGTGGGTTTTCTTAAGCTTAATATATAATCTGGCAAAGCAGTGCACATTCCTATAGTTATTGGTTTTTGCTCTGATGTTAAATGGAATAATATAGAGCTAGGTCCTTAGCACATTAGTAAAGCTGCTATTTTTCTTTTTAACTGGAGAAAATATGTAGTGTGTTATATGTGATGATGCACGACACCATCTGCACTCCCCTTTTCACAATCCTAGATTCGCCCATTACACCCAGTAAGAGGTTCTACTGACTGGATGCTGGTGCTAGAAACATTCAAATTGGGAATAGGGCTCAAATGTTTATAAGTGAGAGGAATTAGTCATCTGGACATGGTAGTTTCTCCAAGCCTTGCAACCTTCAGATCAGGTGTGGATGCTTTGCTCCAACTACAAGTTGCTGAGACAGCCATGGGGGTAGCAGTCTCTCATAGTTTCATAGTAGCTAGGGTCAGGAGGGACCTGACCAGATCATCT